TTGTACGATCATCCAGCACAACTGCTAGGTTGGCAGTAGCTAGGGCTGACAGTGGAAGCTCACGCAGCTCCCTGGAATCGAACCTGCGACCTTTTGGTCAACAAGCTCAGCAGCTCAGTGCTTTAATCCACTGCGCCACCGGGGGGCCCTCGCATAAGCGGTACCTAAATTTCCTACTTGACAGATGCAACTGTCTTTTGGGCTGAAAAGGTCGACAACAAGCTAGACAAATGGTCAGGAGCTTACTCCGACCCAGGTTGGCTTCAAACTCATGACCATTCAGTGAGTAGTGATTTTAATGCAGCTGATCCCCAACCAGCTGTGCTACAGCCCGGTCCTTTTAGATAGACTTGAATACAGGAAGATTGCTGCGAGGTGATACGGTCTCTCTAGGGATTTTCTAAGGCCTCCGGGTCATTCTCCTGGACATTATTATCGTAAGACCTATGCTGGAGAACCTAGCAAATTCCTAGAAATAGAATGGAAGCCAGAAACTCTCTCGGAATCTCTACGGATGCATCTACATTCACGCAGCTGGACTCCAGTTTAGCTACCTTGGCATAATTCTATGGAACCCTGGAAATTGTAGTTTGATGAGACAACAGAGAAGAGCTTGCAAAATTATTATTATTATTAATTTATTTACAGTATTTATATTCCACCCTTCTCACCCTGCAGGGGACTCTGGGTGGATTACAACATACATATACATGGCAAACATTCAATGCCATAGACACACAACATATATAGACAGACACACAGAGGCTATTTAACTTTCCAGCTTCATGACGGTATGATCGAATTCTGGCCACTGGGGGAGCTGTTGCTTCACCATCCACTTGTGACACCGATGGAGTACTTCCTCATTCTTTTGCATGCTGCTGGAGATTGTTATGGCATCGTAATTTAGTTAAATTAGCATCCCTGCATAAGTGATACTAAATTTCTGACTTGACAGATGCAATTGTCTTTCAGCCTGCAAACCAGAAAAAGTAATTGACAAAATGGCCGGGGAGAAGAAAAGAAGACTGTTGCTGTAAAGTAAAAAATAAGTCAAAAATATTCTAAAAGTATTCTGGTTTTAATTTAATTTAATTTATTGTTTTCATATGGTTTATATTATATGTAATGTTTTGACTGTATTTTATTTTGTGGGGCATTGTTTGCCAACTGTAAACCACCTCGAGTTGCCTCCGGCCTGAAAGGGGCAGTATACAAGTATAGTAAATAAAAAAAAAATAAAATAAAGGTCAACAACAAGCTAGACAAATGGTTGGGAGCTTACTCTGACCCAAGCTGGCTTCGAATTCATAACCTTTTGGTCAGTAGATATTTTAATGCAGCTGACTCCCGAACAGCTGTGCCACAACCCGAAATATTGAATGGTGCAAAATAGCATCAAGGTGGCTGATGGCAGAAGCTAAGCAGGGTTGGTCTCGGTTAGTACTTGGAGGGGAGACCGCCAAGAAATGGAAGACCAAGTGTTGGATCTCTTTCAAAGAAAGGAATGCACAAACCACTTACCAGCTGTGCCACAACCCGAAATATTGAATGGTGCAAAATAGCATCAAGGTGTCTGATGCCAGAAGCTAAGCAGGGTTGGTCTTGGTTAGTACTTGGAGGGGAGACCGCCAAGAAATGGAAGACCAAGTGTTGGATCTCTTTCAAAGAAAGGAATGCACAAACCACTTACCAGCTGTGCCACAGCCCGAAATATTGAATGGTGCAAAATAGCATCAAGGTGTCTGATGCCAGAAGCTAAGCAGGGTTGGTCTTGGTTAGTACTTGGAGGGGAGACCGCCAAGAAATGGAAGACCAAGTGTTGGATCTCTTTCAAAGAAAGGAATGCACAAACCACTTACCAGCTGTGCCACAGCCCGAAATATTGAATGGTGCAAAATAGCATCAAGGTGTCTGATGCCAGAAGCTAAGCAGGGTTGGTCTTGGTTAGTACTTGGAGGGGAGACCGCCAAGAAATGGAAGACCAAATGTTGGATCTCTTTCAAAGGAGGGAATGCACAAACCACTTTAAATACCACGGCTCAATGTTATGGAATTGTGGGAAGTGCAGGTTGGTAAAGCAGAGAAAGAGTAAAGCCTTTTGGTTGTTGGGAGTTTTTCCAGGCTGTATGGCCATGTTTCAGAAGCATTCTCTCCTGATGTTTCACCTGCATCTATGACAGATGCAGATCTATCCTCAGAGGTTATCAGTATTTAAAAAACCCTCTAAAATCATAACAGTAAATAAAGAACAACACTCAACAACAGGGGAATTCCAGACAGAAACAATCAGGGCCAGCTTGCAAAGGATCCCCAGGGGCCATCCAGTCCAACCTCCTGCTGTGTAGGAAGTCGCAATCAGAGGCACCCATCCAATTCCTGTTTCAAAACATCCCGAGAAAAATACTCCCATTGGGCTCCAAATCAGCACTGCACAACACTTTATCTACCCCCCCCCCCCTCATTTTAAGACCTGGGGGTGATAATAAAACCAGCCTGACCAGGAAGGCCGGTTTGGGACACACATAAGGGCTCATGGGGGTGCCTCAGGGCAGCTGGATCCTGTGTGTTGGTAAGGTGGAAAGAGATCCCTTTTGGGGCTTCAAAGTGGTGATGCTTGCAAGGCGAGGGAGTGGTCAGCAGGTCGGCTGCTCCAGAGACTGGGACACAATGGAGTCATGGATTCAAACAACAGGAAAAGAGATGACACTTAAACATTAGGAAAAAAACATTGTGGTAGTAAAATCTGTTTGGCAGTGGACTGTCAGATGGAGCCTCCTTCTCTGGAGGTTTCAAAGCAAAGCTGGATGGCCATCTGTCAGGAGGGTTTTGATTGTGTCATCCTTTGAGGTGCAGAGGGGTTGAACTTTGGGGGATTCCCTTCCAACTCTAGGATGATTTGATTTCATCTTCCTGCATAGCAAGAAGTGGGTGAGACTGGATGTCCTTTGTGTGCCCTGGCAAACTCTCAGATTTGGAGTCTGATGAGACTCTCCTCCTCTGGAGATTTTTAAGTAATGCTGGATGGCCATCTGTTGGTAGGGCTTTGATTGTGTCATCCTGCCAGGTGGAATGGGGTTGAATTTTGGGGGATGCCCTTCCAACTCTAGGATGTTTTGATTGCGTCTTCCTGCATAGCAAGAAGTGGGTGAGAGTGGATGTCCTTTGGGTGCCCTGTTAAAGTCTCGGATTTGGAGTCCAATAAGACTCTCCTCCTCTGGAGATTTTTAAGTAAAGCTGGATGGCCATCTGTTGGTAGGGCTTTGATTGTGTCATCCTGCCAGGTGAAATGGTGTTGAACTTTGGGAGATTTCCTTCCAACTCTAGGATGTTTTGATTGTGTCTTCCTGCATAGCAAGAAGTGGGTGAGACTGGATGCCCTTTGGGTGCCCTGTCAAACTCTCAGATTTGGTGTCTGATGAGACTCTCCTCCTCTGGAGATGTTTATGTAATGCTAGATGGCCATCTGTTGGTAGGGCTTTGTGTCATCCTGTGAGGTGGAATAGAATTGAACTTTGGGGGATTTCCTTCCAACTCCAAGATGTTTTGATTGTGTCTTCCTGCATAGCAAGAAGTGGATGAGACTGGATGTCCTTTGGATGCCCTGTCAAACTCTCAGATTTGGAGTCTGATAAGACTCTCCTCCTCTGGAAATTTTAAAGTAAAGCTGGATGGCCATCTGTCGGGAGGGCTTTGATTGTGTCATCCTGCCAGGTGAAATGGTGTTGAACTTTGGGGGATTTCCTTCCAACTCTAGGATGTTTTGATTGTGTCTTCCAGCATAGCTAGAAGTGGATGAGACTGGATGCCCTTTGGGGTGCCCTGTCAAAGTCTCAGATTTGGAGTCTGATAAGACTATCCTCCTCTGGGGGCTTTCAAACCAAGACTGGGTGGCCCTCTGCCAGGAGAGCTTGGATGGTGTCTACCTGGGGTGAGATTGCATGTGCTTTGGGTGTCCTCCTCCAACTCCAGAGGTTTCTATAGAGCATGCCTGGGCAAACTTGGGCCCTCCAGGTATTTTGGACTCCAATTCCCACAATTAACATTATATGCTAATCAAGGCGGTCAGTTGAAACATTCACACCCAGCTCCAGCAGACAAGAGTCCTTTGTCCCACCCTGGTCATTCCACAGATATATAAACCCTTTTCCCTAGTTCCAACAGACCTCACTACCTCTGAGGATGCTTGCCATAGATGCAGGTGAAATGTCAGGAGAGAATGCCTCAAGACCATGGCCATATAGCCCGAAAAAACCTACAACAACCCAGCATCGTATGTTTCTGAAATATCGAATTCTCTGTACTCCTCTTGACTTCACTCTCAGCCTTCTCTTCTGCAGGCTCAACATGCCCAGCTCTTTAAGCCGCTCCTCATAGGGATTCGTGAAGGACCAAACCAGCCTGACCAGGGAGGTCACAGAAGAGCCTGGGGGGAGCTGGAGGAGAGCCCTTTGGGTTTGGAACCTTGGAGCCCCAGTGGGCAGAGTTTGAATTCTCTGTGCTCCTCTCAGCCTTCTCTTCAGCAGGCTCAACATGCCGAGCTCTTTAAGCCGCTCCTCATAGGGCTTCGTGAAGGATCAAACCAGCCTGACCAGGGAGGCCAGTTTGGGGCGGCATAGAAGAGCCTGAGGGAAGCTGGAGAAGGAGAGCCCCTTGGGTTTGGAGCCTTGGAGTCCCAGTGGGCAGAGCAAGGCCAAGCCAAGCCCCCCCCCCCCCCTTCAGACCCAGCCCCTTCTCCTCTTCCTCCTCCTCCTCCTTGGACTCCACACTCTCTCTTTCCCTCTCCTTCCCCGAGGCGTTGTTTGCCAAGGCGGCGGAAAGGCGAGGAAGGAGAGAGGAGAAAGAGAGAGAGAAGAAGGAAGGGGGGTCCTGCCTTTTCCCTTGGAGGGGCTTCTTGCCTGGGGTGGTCTCCCACTTGTTGCCAAAGAGAAGGAGGAGAAGGGAGGAAGGAAGGAAGGAGGAGAAGAAGGCACTCCAGGCAAGCCGGCAGCCAAGGGGGGAAGCCCACCCCTCCTCCCTCTCCTCAGGGCTGAGCCTCCCATCCCGCCCCCTCCCCAAAGGGCAGACCCTCCCCTGGGCACCAAGGAAGGAAGGAAGGAGGAAAGGAGGAAGGAAGAGAAGCAGAAGGAGCTCCAGGCGCCGGATCATGGTGGAGAACACCCGCCTCGTCGCCGCCAAAGCCGCCCTGGTAAGCTCTTTTCCTGGGGGAGACAAGCAGAGAGGGAGGGAAGAAGGGGTCTTGTTGGTTTATTTTTGGGGAGGGGTCTTGCTTCCCTTTGCAGCCCCCTCCCCAGTATTTGGAGTCTGAAAGTGGCCAAAGCGGTGGGCTCTTTGGAGAGAGGAGCAGCAGGCACTTACCTGGGAAGAAAGGCAGGAAAGGAAGGAACTTCCAAGGGTCTTCTTCTTCCTTCTCCTTCTCTTCTCCTCTTTTCCAAAGCTTCCCTTTGCAGCCCCTTCCCAATATTTGGAGTCTGAAAGTGGCCAAAGCGGTGAGCTCTTTGGGAGAGGAGCAGCAGGCACTTACCTGGGAAGGAAGGAAGGAAAGAAGGAAGGAACTTCCAAGGGTCTTCTTCTTCCTTCTCCTTCTCTTCTCCTCTTTTCCAAAGCTTCCCTTTGCAGCCCCTTCCCAATATTTGGAGTCTGAAAGTGGCCAAGGCGGTGGGCTCTTTGGGAGAGGAGCAGCAGGCACTTACCTGGGAAGAAAGGAAGGAAAGGAAGGAACTTCCAAGGGTCTTCTTCTTCCTTCTCCTTCTCTTCTCCTCTTTTCCAAAGCTTCCCTTTGCAGCCCCTTCCCAATATTTGGAGTCTGAAAGTGGCCAAAGCGGTGAGCTCTTTGGGAGAGGAGCAGCAGGCACTTACCTGGGAAGGAAGGAAGGAAAGAAGGAAGGAACTTCCAAGGGTCTTCTTCTTCCTTCTCCTTCTCTTCTCCTCTTTTCCAAAGCTTCCCTTTGCAGCCCCTTCCCAATATTTGGAGTCTGAAAGTGGCCAAGGCGGTGGGCTCTTTGGGAGAGGAGCAGCAGGCACCTACCTGGGAAGAAAGGAAGGAAGGAAGGAACTTCCAAGGATCTTCTTCCTTCTCCTCTTCTTCTCCTCTTTCCAAAGCTTCCTTGGAAGAAGGTAAGGCGAGGGTGCCATCCACACTGCATTCCTCTCTTAATCCCAATCTGGAGGTCCTCCCCAAAGCAAACGCCCTTCAGGGAAATGGACAGGGAAGGAATCAAGCCAGCCATGGGGAGGCATAAGAATGGCATCTCCCAATATTGGGGGCTGGTTTGGAAGGGGAGATTCTGGACTCCCCAAGGTAGAAAGGTCTCCCCACAGATTGGAATGTCCTCCTCGTTCAGAAGTCCTGAGCAATTTCTTTGAGTCCCATCCTGTCAAGTTAGAAAGGGAGAGGCAAGTGGGGAAGAGAAATTGGGGGGACACTTGGGGTGCCAAACTGAGAAGGTGGTTCCCAATCTGGGGGAATAGTGAATAATAATAATAATAATAATAATAATAATAATAATAATAATATTGTGTCCAATTCTGGGCACCATAACTCAAGAGAGATATTGACAAGCTGGAATGTGTCCAGAGGAGGGCGACTAAAATGATCAAGGTCTGGAGAACAAGCCCTATGAGGAGCGGCTTAAGGAGCTGGGCATGTTTAGCCTGAAGAAGAGAAGGCTGAGAGGAGATATGATAGCCATGTATAAATATGTGAGAGGAAGCCACAGGGAGGAGGGAGCAAGCTTGTTTTCTGCTTCCCTGTAGACTAGGACGCAATGGAGCAATGGCTTCAAACTACAAGAGAGGAGATTCCATCTGAACATGAGGAAGAACTTCCTGACTGTGAGAGCCGTTCAGCAGTGGAACTCTCTGCCCCGGAGTGTGGTGGAGGCTCCTTCTTTGGAAGCTTTTAAACAGAGGCTGGATGGCCATCTGTCAGGGGTGATTTGAATGCATTATTCCTGCTTCTTGGCAGAATGGGGTTGGACTGGATGGCCCATGAGGTCTCTTCCAAGTCTTTGATTCTATGATTCTATGGTTCTATGTTCCAATCTGGGGAAATAGTGAATACTACTACTACTACTAATAATAGTAAAGTTCCAATCTGGGGGAATAGTGAATAATAATAATAATAATAATAATAATAATAATAATAATAATAATGATAATAATAATAATAGTAAAGTTCCAATCTGGGGGAATAGTGAATACTACTAATAATAATGGTAATAATAATAGTAAAGTTCCAATCTGGGGAAACAGTGAATACTAATAATAATGATGATAATAAAAATAAATAAAAGCAATAATAATAATAATAATAATAATAATAATAATAATAATAATAATATGGTACAACTTTGGGGTAATAAATAATAATATAGCAATAATAATAATAATAATAATAATAATAATAATAATAATAACAACAATATGGTTCCAATCTTGGGGGAAAGTGAAATAATAATGAAGAGGAGGAGGTTGTTTTCAATCTGGGGAAATAGTGGTTAATAAAAATAATAAATAAGAGCAATAATAACAATTGTAAAGTTCCCAATCTGGGGGAATGGTGAATAATAATGATAATAATAATAAATAAGAGCAATAACAATAATAGTAAGGTTCCAATCTGGGGGAATAGTGAAGAATAATAATAACAGTACTAATAAATAATATAGCAATAATAATAATGAGATTCCAATCTTGGGGGAAAGTGAAATAATAATGAATAGGAGGAGGAGGTTGTTCCCAATCTGGAGGAATAGTGAATAATAATAATGATAATAAAAATAAATAGGAGCAATAATAATAATAATAATAATAATAATAATAATAATAATATGGTTCCAATTTGGGGGAATAGTAAATAGTAGTAGTAGTAGTAGTACTAATAATAATAATAAATATAGCAGTAATAATAATGAGGTTCCAATCTTGGGGGAAAGTGAAATAATGAAGAGGAGGAGGTTGTTCCCAATCTGAGGGAATAGTGAATAATAATAATAATAATAATAATAATAGCAATAATAATATGGTTCCAATTTGGGGGAATACTGAATAATAATAATAAATAAGAGCAATAACAATAATAATAAGGTTCCAGTCTGGGGGAATAGTGAATAATAATAATAATAATAACAACAACAACAATAAATATAGCAATAATAATAATGAGGTTTCAATCTTGGGGGAACCTCATTATTATTATTAGCCTTCAACAATAATAATATGGTTCCAATTTGGGGGGAATAGTGAAATAATAATGAAGAGGAGGAGAGGAGGAGGTTGTTCCCAATCTGGTGGAATAATGAATAATAATAATAATAATAATAATAATAATAGCAATAACAATAATGGTAATGATAAGGTTCCAATCTGGGGGATTAGTGAATGATAATAATAATAATTAATAATATAGCAATAACAATAATAATAATGAGGTTCCAGTTTTTGAGAAACTGAAATAATGAGGAGGAGAAGGAGGTTGTTCCCAATCTGGGGATCAGTGAGTAATAATAATTGTTATTAATAGCAATAATAATAATGTTTCATTCTTGGAGGAAAGTGCAATAATAATAATAATGAGGAGGAGGGGGAAGATGACGAAGAGGTCGTTCCCAACCTGGGGAGTAGTGAAATATTATTATTATTATTATTATTATTATATTTAATTTTATTTATTTATTTATTTACGGCATTTATATGCCACCCTTCTCACCTCGAAGGGGACTCAGAGCAGCTTACAAGATATATATTCATACAATATATTATATTATTAGCATAGTACAATATCAGTATTACATATTACTATATTGCACTATACCATGATATTGTAATATTATTAGTAATATTACATGTGATGTAAATATATAATTATAATTTTAATTATTACTAGTATTATATTGTATTATATTATAATATTATAACATATAACACTATGTAACCCAATTTTTGTTCCTGGGTTATTAATGTCATTTCCTAATTGGATCTAGCCTAAAAAAAACATGGGAAAAGTTTATCAAACTACCAAAACTTTTTTTTTGAGGGAGGGGCATCCTGCTGCAGGACATTTTTGCGCCAGTTTTTCAGTGAATCTTTGATTAGAGTCTCAACCAATTCAAAAGAGTTTGTGGCAGGCCCAAAAACAAGGTTTCTGGAGGAGAACAGCTACTTTTCCAATTGGACAGGAAACAATACTTCCAAACCAGGAACAGAACATTTTTTTTTCAGATTTGGTTACATAGTGTCATAATAGAGTTCCCAATCTGGAAAATTAAAAAGATACGAATCAGGTTCCCAATTGGATAAAAGTGAGATAATAATAGTAATAATAATAAGAAGGTTCCCAATCTTGGGGGGAAAGTGCACTAGAGATCATAATAATCTACTTGTGGGTAATCACCAACTTCGAGCTCGGTTTTGGAGATGGGAAGGGCGACTAAAAAGAGTTGTAAGCCCCATCCTTCCTCTTTCTGAGGCCAATGGGGATGTGAGGAAGGATGCCATGAAATCCCAAGAGTCTCAGAAGGAGAAGCAGTTTGGGGGAGACTTTTTTTCGGGGAGGAAGTGGGAGTGCGCGCACCGAGTTTTGCAGGCGCGACTTGGCGTGGAAAGGTGATTTCTTTCTCTGGGGATGAATGGGAAAGAGGGGAAAGTGCCCCACTTGTACATCTGGGTCTCTTGATTCAGGGGACACCCCAAAAGGGAAGGTTTCACGCAGCGGGGCGCGTGGGGAGAGCGCGCAAAGAAGGGCGCACGCTTCAAGCGTGCGCCCTTCTTTGCGCGCTCTCCCCACGCGCCCCGCTGCGTGAAACCTTCCCTTTTTGGACACGAAGGGAAACCTGGGACGACCCTCCYCACTTCTRCCCSCTTTTGGAGCCCYTGWTTTTYTTCTTTCCSCCTCCTTTYCCCCGTTTTCCGCGGTCCCCCYTTCCCCTCKMCWTTCCCKGCTTCAAGCGTGCGCCCTTCTTTGCGCGCTCTCCCCACGCGCCCCGCTGCGTGAAACCTTCCCTTTTTGGGCACGAAGGGAAACCTGGGACGACCCTCCCCACTTCTACCCCCTTTTGGAACCCCTCCTTTTCTTCTTTCCACCTTCTTTCCCCCGTTTTCCGCGGTCCCCCCTTCCCCTCTCCATTCCCGGCTTGGCTTCTTCCCTCTGGATGCGCCTCAAGACCTTTTGTGTTTTGCAGTTGCTCCTGATTGCTCCCTTGTGGGTCTATCACAGCATTAGATTTGCCCCTCTCCTGTCCCAAAATGGGCCAAAAACAAAAGATAGAGCAGTGTTTCTCCACCTTCCCAATGCCACGACCCCCTTAATACAGTTCCTCATGTGGTGGTGACCCCCCAACCATCAAATTATTTTTGTTGCTACTTCATCACTGGGATTTTGCTCCTGCCATGAATCGCAATGTAAATAAATATCTGATATGGTGAATATATTTTCATTCACTGGACTAAAATTTGGCACAAATATGTGATATGTCTAAATTCGAATACTGGTGGGGTTGATTTTGTCATTTGGGAGTTGTAGTTGCTGGGATTTGTAGTTCACCTACAATCAAAGAGCATTCCCAACTCCACCAATGATGGAATTGAACCAAACTTGGCACACGGAACTCTCATGATACTGGAAGGGTTTAGTAAGCATTGACCTTGGGTTTGGGAGTTGTAGTTCATCTACATCCAGAGATTCAAACAATGATAGATCTGGACCAAGCTTGGCACGGATACTCAATATGCCCAAATATGAACACTGGTGGAGTTTGGGGGAAATAGATCTTGACATTTCGGAGTTGTAGTTGCTGGGATTTGTAGTTCACCTTCATTCAAAGAGCATCCTCAACTCCACCAATGATGGAATTGAACCAATCTTGGCACACAGAACTCTCATGATACTGGAAGGGTTAACTAAGCATTGACCTTGGGTTTGGGAGTTGTAGTTCTTCTATATCCAGAGAGCACTATGGACTCAAACAATGATGGATCTGGACCAAACTTGGCACCTACAAAACACCCAGTGATTCCAGCCATTAAAGCCTTCAACAATACCTTGGCACATGTACTCAATATGCCCAAATCTGAACACTGGTGGAGTTTGGGGGAAATAGATCTTGACATTTCGGAGTTGAAGTTGCTGGGATTTGTAGTTCACGTACAATCAAAGAGCATTCTCAACTCCACCAATGATGGAATTGAACCAATCTTGGCACACAGAACTCTCATGATACTGGAAGGGTTTAGTAAGCATTGACATTGGGTTTGGGAGTTGTAGTTCTTCTACATCCAGAGAGCACTATGGACTCAAACAGTGATGGATCTGGACCAAACTTGGCACGGATAGAACATGGCCATAGAGTCCGAAAAAAACCTGCAACAACCCAGTGATTCCGGCCATGAAAGCCTTCGACAATACCTTGGCACGGATACTCAATATGACCAAATCTGAACACTGGTGGAGTTTCGGGGAAATAGATCTTGACATTTGGGAGTTGTAGTTGTTGGGGTTTATAGTTCTCTTACATTCAAAGAGCATTCTCAACTGCAGCAATGATGGAGTTGAACCAATTGAACCAGTAAGCCGGTCTGAGTCCCTGTACGGAGGTTGAGAAGATCGGGATATAAAAGTTTTAAATAAATAATATAAATAAATACGTCTTGGCACACAGGACCTTGAGTTTGGGAGTTGTAGTTCATCTACATACAGAGAGCACCGTGGAGTCAAACAATGATAGATCTCTACCAAGCTCAATATGCCCAGATTTCTACACTGGTGGAGTTTGGGGGAAATAGATCTTGACATTTGGGAGTTGTAGTTGCTGGGGTTTATAGTTCACTTACATTCAAAGAGCATTCTCAGCTCCACCAATTATAGAATTGAACCAATCTTATCACACAGAACTCACATGACTAACAGAAAATACTGGAAGGGTTTAGTGGGCATTGACCTTGGGTTTAGGAGTTGTAGTTCATCTACATCCAGAGACTCAAACAATGCTAGACCTGGATCAAATTTGGCACGGATACTCAATATGTCCAAATCTGAACACTGGTGGAGTTTGGGGGAAAAAAGATCTTGACATTTGGGAGTTGTAGCTGCTGGGATTTATAGTTCACCTACATTCAAAGAGCATCCTCACCTGCACCAATGATGGAATTGAACCAGTAAGCTGGTCTGAGTCCCTCTACGGAGGTTGAGAAGATCGGAATATAAAAGTTATAAATAAATAAATCTTGGCACACAGAACTCCCATGACCAACAGAAAATACTGCAAGGGTTTGGTGGGCATTGGCCTTGAGTTTGGGAGTTGTAGTTCATCTACATCCAGAGAGCACTGTAGACTCAAACAATGATAGATCTGGACCAAACTTGGCACGGATATTCAATATGCCCAAATCTGAACACTGGTGGAGTTTGGGGGAAATAGATCTTGAAATTTGGGAGTTCTAGTTGCTGGGATTTATAGTTCACCTACAATCAAAGAGCATCCTCAACTCCACCAATGATGAAATTGAACCAAACTTGGCACACAGAACTCTCATGACCAACAGAAAATACTGGAAGGGTGTAGTAAGCATTGACCTTGGGTTTGGGAGTTGTAGTTCATCTACATCCAGAGAGCACTGTGGACTCAAACAATGATAGATCTGGACCAAACTTGGCACAGATACTCAATATGCCCAAATCTGAATACTGGTGGAGTTTGGGGGAAATGGATCTTGACATTTGGGAGTTGTAGTTACTGGGATTTACAGACCCTCAACCTCTGAGGATGCCTGCCATAGATGTGGGTGAAATGTCAGGAGAGTATGGTTCTGGAACATGGCCATGCAGTCTGGAAAACTCACAGCAACTCACAAAAATAATCAATGTTGGGGTGCTGTTGGGGTTCAGCCTGAGTTTGAACTTGAACCTGATTCTCTGTTTGTTCCTCCTGATGCTAATGAAAATATATTTACTGATGCTAGTGGAAATGTACCTCTTGATGCCAATGCTCCTGAAATTAAGGAGGAAGAAACTTCTGTAGGTTTGGAAAATGAAAGTACCAGTGTTCATGAGAATGTTTCAGAGGGAAGCCATGACCTTTCCCTCCCTTCTGCACCTGGTAACTTTAATGAGAATAGATAGTGCCAGATCTGGCAAGACAGGAGTAAATCACTCAGCTTGCGAAGGTCTTCCCGATTAAAAGAAATACAAACAACGGCTTCAAAGCAGAGGGGCGGTTCACGGAACCAATTCTTCGGCTTTAAGTGCCTTCCGCCGGGCTGACTTTCTCAGTTCAGGCATCGTTTTAGATTGATGAAGACCTTGGCAGTTCTCCCGGTTTCCCTGGCCATCGTCTTGAAAGATTTCTAGGACACCAAGTACGGTTAGTGGATTGCTAACAGGTTCCAGTATTTTACAGTGTGGCTTTGGGTTTTTGATCTTGTTCATGGAATTCATGTTTGCTGATTTTGCTGTGGCTTTTGACTTGCATTTTTCCTTTATTTTGTAACCATTTTTCTTCAATAAAAAAGGATTGTTTTTCACAGTCAAGTGTGGTGGATAGTTATCTTAGGGCCTCGTTCCCTGCTCTGGATTGCAACAGTTGCCACTCGAAATGCTCTCCTTATTTCCAACACCATCTAACCCCTTGCTTGTCTCTTCTCTCTCGTCAGGCTGCAGCGGCCGCCTTCTCTTCCTCCTCCTCTTCCTCTTCTTCCTCCTCGGGGACCCCCAGCTGCCCCATGACGGCGGGGGCCCTGCGCCTGGAGGCCGTGATGGAGAACCTGCAGCGGGCACAGGCGGCCAGGCTGAAGGAGGAGGCCGAGGAGAAGCGCCGCCGGGCCCAGGCCACACGCAGCTACGCCGCCTCTGTCGCCACCCAGCCCGCCAACTCCAACAACCATCACCCCCAGCCCCGGCAGACCCACGCCCTGCCGCCTTTGATGCCCTTGCAGACCTGTGGCAGGGGCCCCGTGGCTGGCTCAGGCGGAGGGATAGGCCGGGTCGGAGGGACACCTGGACCACTGAGAGCCCACCTGCAGAGCCTGCCCAGCCAAGTCTCGGGTCAGCAGTGCCGAGCCCTAGAAGAAGAAGAAGAAGAGGAGGAGGAAGAGGAAGACGAGAGGAAGGAGGAAGACGAGGAAGAGGAAGAGGAGGAGGAAGGAGAGGACGGTCCCAAGGCAGAGGCGGAAGAAGGGCAGCCCAATCCCAACTGCAATGCTGCCACCGAAGCCTCCGGTCCCTTGGTGGTCCGCCCCGTCCCAGAGCCACCACCATCTCAGCCCCACGAATGGACCTACGAGGAGCAGTTCAAGCAGGTAGGAGATGATACTGCCTCCAACCCTTCTCATTGATCCTCCTGTTGGACCTTCTCAGTCCTTGCTCCCCAGCTTCCTTTCCTTGCCCCTTCTTCTCCTTTGCCCACTTCGAGTCTTCCCTCAGCCCCCCTCTGACCTTATTTCTCCCCTCGGCCCTCTTCCTTGCTTCTCCTGTTGTGCCCACTCCTTCCCTTGCCCTTGACCCTACTGGTCCCGGGTCAGCACTGCTGACCTGGGACTTGGCTGGGCAGGCTCTGCAGGTGGGCTCTCAGGGGCCCAGGTGTCCCTCCGACCCTTTCCATTGTCCCTTTCACTCCCTGTAGCCCCCTTCGGCCCCTCTTTCCCTCCCCTCTTCTCGGGTCCCTTTCTGTTGCCCAGCACCCTTGATTTCCTTGCAGTCCTTCCCCTTCTGGAATCTGCAATACAGGGTGAGCTCCCATCTGTCAGCTCTAGCTTGCATGGACACGAGAGAAGCCTCCCAACAGGATGGTAATACATCCAGGTGTCCCTTGAGCAATGTCTCTGTAAATGGCTGAAGCAACTTGGAGTATGTTTACAAGTTGCTTCTGATGCAATTAAAATGCTTCCTCTTCTTAACCCCCTCCCCATGGCCCCTCCCACTTCCCTTTGGCCCCCTCAACCCCCTCAGTCCTCTCTCCTTGAATCTCATCCACCCTTAGCCTCCTCTCTGCCCCTTCTGCCCTTGACCTCTTCCACCATCCACTGTCCATCCACTGTTGCCTCTCTGCGCTTATGACAAATGGTTGTATGCAGTCCTATTGAACTACGGTGATGTGGTTATCAAAAGTTAGAAAAAAGAATGGATTGAAAAACTGCACAGGTGTTTCCTAAACCTCTCTGGTGGTGTTGCCCAAGAGTTTGTGCAATTGGTGTCACCCAGTGTGGTTTCTGACTATTGCAGTGGTCCCATTGTCCCCCCAAACAGTCTTCCTCCATTCTTCAGGAGAGCATTTATTTATTTGTCGTGTCAGAACAACCAGTCAAATTATATTACATTTCTAACAGAAACAAAGCAAACAAGCAGATTACAGAATTTGTGAGTATGAGAGTTGATTAAATGTCCTTTGACCAGTATCTGGCCACTTGGAGTGCCTCTGGTGTTGTCGCAAGAAGGTCCTCCCTTGTGCATGTGGCAGGGCTCAGGTTGCATTGCAGCAGGTGGTCAGTGGTTTGCTCTTCTCCACACTCGCATGTCGTGGATTCCACTTTGTAGCCCCATTTCTGAAGGTTGGCTCTGCATCTCGTGGTGCCAGAGCGCGGTCTGTTCAGCGCCTTCCAAGTCGCCCAGTCCTCTGTGTGCCCAGGGGGGAGTCTCTCATTTGGTATCAGCCATTGGTTGAGGTTCTGGGTTTGAGCCTGCCACTTTTGGACTCTCGCTTGCTGGGGTGTTCCAGTGAGTGTCTCTGTAGATCTTAGAAAACTATTTCTAGATTTAAGTCGTTGACGTGCTGGCTGATACCCAAACAGGGGATGAGCTGGAGATGTCTCTGCCTTGGTCCTTTCACTATTGGCTGCTACTTCCCGGCGGATGTCAGGTGGTGCAATACCGGCTAAGCAGTGTAATTTCTCCAGTGGTGTAGGGCGACAGGCACCCTGTGATAATGCGGCATGTCTCATTAAGAGCCACATCCACTGTTTTAGTGTGGTGAGATGTGTTCCACACTGGGCATGCATACTCAGCAGCAGAGTAGCACAGCGCAAGGGCAGATGTCTTCACTGTATCTGGTTGTGATCCCCAGGTTGTGCCAGTCAGCTTTCGTATGATATTGTTTCTAGCACCCACTTTTTGCTTGATGTTCAGGCAGTGCTTCTTGTAGGTAAGAGCACGGTCCAGAGTGACTCCCAGATATTTGGGTGCGCTGCAATGCTCCAGTGGGATTCCTTCCCAGGTGATCTTCAGAGCTAGGGATGCTTGTCTGTTCTTGAGATGAAAGGCACATGTCTGTGTTTTAGATGGTAGGGATCAGCTGGTTTTCCCTGTAATAGGCAGTAAGAGCACCTAGAGCTTCAGAGAGCTTCTGTTCAACCATCTCAAAGCTCCCTGCTTGAGCAGTAATGGCACGATCATCAGCATAGATGAAACTCTCTGTCCCTTCTGGCAGTGGCTGGTCATTTGTGTAGATGTTGAACATGGATGGGGCAAGCACGCTCCCCTGAGGCAGGCCTTCTTCTGTTTCCGCCATCTGCTTCTCTGGCCCTGGAACTCAACAAAAAAGCTCCTGTTTTGTAGCAGGTTTCCTATGAGGCGGGTGAGGTGGTCGTCCTTTGTGATATTATACATTTTTCTCAGGAGGAGGCGGTGGTTCACAGTATCATAGGCTGCTGACAGGTCTATGAAGACAGCTCCTGTGATCTGCTGCCTTTCAAAACCATCTTCTATGTGCTGAGTGAGGTTCAACACTTGCGATGTGCAGCTTTTGCCTTTTCTGAAGCCAGCTTGCTGTGGGATCAGACATGGGTCTAGTTTTTCCATAATTCTATGCAAAATAAGTCTCTCCAGAACTTTGTAGAGGTGGCACAACAGGGAGATTGGTCTGTAGCTTTTTGGGTCATTGCGGTCTTTGCCTGGCTTCAAGATGGCTATGACTCTTGCTTTCCTCCAGATTTTGGGGATCTGACAGGATGCAGTGCAGTTGTTCATCAGCTCCAGCAGCCAGCGCCTTGCTTTTGGGCCAAAGTTCTTGATTTGTTCCATCCGTAGATCATCCAAGCCAGCTGCTTTGCCATTCTTACATTTGTTGAGAGCCATGTCCAATTCAGTAGATGTAAAGGGTTCATGAAGGTTGTTGTTCTCAATCTCTGGTTGTCTGGCTATTGGTTTCTTTCCTACTTTGGTGGCAAGGTTGGGTTTCCCATTCTTCAAGAGTTGGTGTGCTAATCTGATCTGCCTTTATGTTGACATGGGTATTAGTTTGTGAGGGGTCATTGCTCAACTGTCTTAGCAGCCTCCATGCCTTCTGGCTGCTCCTGCCCATGTCGACCTCTGTGATCAGCTTGATCCACTGTTCTTTCTTGGCTTCAGAGATGGAGGACACAATGCTCTGCGCTGCCTGAAGGGTTTGCTCACTAAATGGGTCTTCGTTGTGGAGCCTGTAATAGTTTTCCAACAAGGCAGCTGTTTCAGGGGTAATGCCCTGAAGGTAGTTGGTTCTGCAGCCTCTCGGTATGGAGGCCCGTGAGCAGGTTTTCACTATTTCAATAAAATGCTCGTATTCCTCAGGGATTGGCATGACTGATGAGATCATGTCATCTAACATGTCTGAGAATTTAGTCCAATCTGCCTTTCTGAAGTTGTATCTTCGTTTAAATCGAACTTCCTGAGGCCTTATTGTTGGGAACAGTTGGCATATTATTGGTCGGTGCTGTGTGTTTGGAATTGGTGGTCCCACTGATTTAGTGCATTGCTGTACAATGCTGTCGCTCACAAATAAGAGCCATCTCCTTATATCCTCGGTGCCATCTCCCACTGTTGTAGGATGGTGGGAGCTTACTATCATGAATGAGTGATAGTTTGTGCAGTTCAGACCAGGAGAGGACAGCCTCTCCATTTTTATCCTCTTGAGCATAGCCCCATACATGGCTATGGCTGTTAAAGTCACCAATTACTACCGCCCTTTGGTGCCTATCAAAGTTCTCGGGGGAGGAGAAGCAGAACTCTTCATTTGGGGGCTTGTACACAGAGGTGATGGTGATGTTATTGAGCTCTACTGTTAGAACCTCGATATTGTTTTCTTCAGTGTTGTGGGCACTGCTGACTTGGAGGCCTGGTTTGACAAAGACGGCGCTTCCATACGGTGCATGTGGTCTTTCCGCTACTAAGACCATTCCTGGAACTTTGGGTCGTTTCTGTCTTTCATCCCTGTGTGTTTCTTGGACACACAGCACGTCACATTTCTTATCTCGGCACAGCTCATAGAGCAGTTGTTCTTTGGCGGCTGACATGCCTTCGATGTTGATAGAGATTATTGTCATGGTTGGTCCTGAAAAGATCCATTGGTTGTTTTGCTTGCTTGCTTGTATGCTGCAAGTCGTCTCTGGTTTCTTCTGGATTGAGAGAATCAGCCGTCTGCGAAGACGTTGCCCAGGGGACGCCAGATATCTTGCAATCCTGCGAGGAGGCTTCTCTCATGTCCCCCAGGAGACATGAGGAGCATCTCGCAACAAGATGTGCCGTCAGGAGAGCACTGAAGGCACATCTTGTTGCGAGATGCTCTGACTTCTGGCTCCTCCATTGTCTCATAGCAGGGGCCTCTCTGGGGCCCCTCCAGCAGAACCAGACTCGCTGTGGCCAGTCTGGGGGTCCTCCAGCCACATGGGACCCCAGAAAGCTTGCTTGTCTCTTTCCAAAGCCTGGTGTCCCTTCTGGTTATTATGAATGCTCTTCTGGACTCCATGAATTGGGGGTCCCCAAGCAGGTCCCAAAGCTTAACTAGGTTTGGATGCAAATGTCTTGAGAATACAACCCTTGACGTTTTAAAAACCTTTTGACATAATTGAAACCCATCTTGGGAGGTGCCTGGAGTCCAAGTTTGGGAAGGAAATGAGGCATAAATAAAGCAATCTTTAACAACAACAACAAATCAGAATGATTTTTTCTGTGACTTCCCAATGTGACTTCTCTGTCCACATTGGGGGTTCCTCCTTGGCACATCCTTCTCCAAAGTATTGTTCACTTGGATCATAGAATCAAAGAGTTGGAAGAGACCTCATGGGCCATCCAGTCCAACCCCATTCTGCCAAGAAGCAGGAATATTGCATTCAAATCACCCCTGACAGATGGCCATCCAGCCTCTGTTTAAAAGCTTCCAGAGAAGGAGCCTCCACCACACTCCGGGGCAGAGAGTTCCACTGCTGAACGGCTCTCACAGTCAGGAAGTTCTTCCTCATGTTCTTCCTCTCTTGTAGTTTGAAGCCATTGTCCCATTGCGTCCTAGTCTCCAGGGAAGCAGAAAACAAGCTTGCTCCCTCCTCCCTGTGGC